GGTCCACATGAAGGATCCCACATAGGAAATCTAATAAAATAGAAAATGCTAACTGATTGTTGTTGGCTGAACTCAGCCATTATCTGTTCTGGGGTCCCTAGAAGACTAGACTTGCAACAAGCAGTTTCTTACATGGATCATCTGGTATAAGAAAGAAGGATTTTTCTTTCTTCATAGTTTAGTCTGTATGCTTCATTTCTTAAAAGCCCCAAATCTAGTTACCTGGAAGATGTATGTACCATCACTAAAGAAAAGAAGGCAGAATTGTGGCCTCCCTTCTGGTCTCTAACACAGATTACTACAGTGTGCTGTTAACAATGATAAGGAGTCAGAGGCTACAGTGATGTCATTTTATGACCATCTCTATCCCAGACAATAAAAGTATGACAGACCCCAGACCATGCATGCCCTGGTCTATGAGTCAGAGAGAGGCAAAAGATAGAAATACATTCATCCCCTGAAGAAGCAGGCCCGAGGGGCCCAGGCCGCCTTTCATCTGTCATCTATGATGGTGTTTTCTTGGAAGAGAAACTAGAGATAAAGGCATGTCACTCTCAAGATAGATTGGCGGAATTGCGAGTAGCTTCCCTCCCTTCTGCTTTTGCAGGGAATGGCTGTGTGTTTACAATCTGTAAATGATACCTCTTGGATTGGGTGTGTTACAGATCCCAGAAGCATGTTCTGTCATGTCTAACATACAGCTGAAGTCATTGGGCTCTGTGAAGAGGCCCTGTAGTGAGGAGTGACCCTGTCACTGCCTGGCCAAGTCTCAGACAAGCATATCAGGGTGCTGGGGTCCTGTCCACATAGAGGAAATGATGCATTGGGACACACATGGGTTATGCCCTCAAAATGTTGAACTTAAGCTCAACAAATCTAGTTTAGCAAATCCCAATGAGAAGTATGCTGGTGAGTTTTATCTCAGCTTGACACAAGCAAGAGACATTTGGGAAAAGGGAACTTCAACTGAGAAAATGCCCCCCAGCAGACTGGCTAGTGGATAAGTCGATAGGACATTTTCTTGATTGACAACACATATAGGAGAATCTATCTCACTGAGTGGGGTTCCACCCCTGGGCTGGTTGTCCTAGGTACTATAAGAAAACAATCAGAATAAGCCATGGGGAGCAAGCTAGTATGCAGCACTCCTCCATGACCTCTGCTTCAATTCCCAACTCTAGGTTCCTGCTCTGTTGAGTTCATGCTAATTTTTCTCAATGATAGACTGTGCTGTGAAAGAGTAAACTGAAATAAATCCTGTCCTCCCCAAGTTGCTTTTGGTCATGGTGTTTTATTGTAGCCATGGAAACCCTAAGACAAAGAAGCTAGAGTGGCATGATATGGCCATAGACTAAGACTATGCCAGGCTCCCTAGCAACAGAAAGGTGTGTTTATCAGAAAGATCACAGATAACAATTTTTTTCGTTTTAAGTATTTTTTCTTTAGTAAGTTATATAAAAATATAAAACTATGGAAACCACAGTTATGACCAAACTATGAAAAGAACTTACTGGAATGCCTAATAGAAATGCCTCAGAAGTGAATATACCATGAAGGGATTGAGGACAGCCCCACGGCCAACCCTTTCCACACAGGACAGGTTGATAGCACTATTGTATGTAGGTCCAGACTAGGTCCTGGCCCATCTCTGTGGATACCACTTTTAGATACGTTCTGTAGTCATCTTTGTCCAGAAAGATTTGAAACAGCACATATTGCTCATCTTCAACACCCCAAGCAATTCTGGGAAGAGATCACATTCTGGGTTAGAGTCTAGATTGGACTGTGATATCTGAAATGTTGTTGGAGAATGCACATTGTCTTCATCAGTGCAGCTGTGGCTGCTTGCAGGAGAACCTTAAGACCGGGTCTGTTAACAGCTAATATTCACTTTTAGAAGGAAGTGCTGGAGAGGGTCACTGAATCCTCACTCAGCATTCTAGCCACTCCCTCATACAAACACCTCCCAGTTAGTTGTATGTGACTCTGCTCTACTTTTCACACAGCCTTGTGGTCTCTGGAGATCCCAGAGTACATAGACTGTGGAAGGTTAGCCACAGGGGACTTCACCCATGCAGGTCTGGGGAAGTAGTCATTTAATGCTAGGGTGAGACTTTTCAGAGGTGTAGTTGCTTTGGGGTCACCCATGCTTCTGTAGGTAATCCCGCACCCTTGTACTCTACAAAGCTCCATAAAACCAACTGGGTCACAGCTTTGACCATGGTGAAAGTGTGCCTTAGTTTTTCTGTGGTGTCCTACCATAGGTGAGAAGCAATTTTTATATCTACCTGGTGGAAGAGTTCACACAGCGGTTTTTCATTCAGTGCTTTGTGTATTTTGGTTATGATTGTTTGTCACAATATCTCACTCTGTACCTCGGGCTATTCTCAAACTCACAACAATCCTCCTGCCTCAACCTCACAAGCAGTGGAAGTACACTTACGAGTCATGATGAATGGATCCATTTCCTCCTGTTGGAAGATTTCCTTTATGTGACATGTCAAAGATACTCTGTTCCAACTGTCCCTAAGGGGTAAATGCCGTCTTCTTTCAAGGGTGGCACGTTTAAACAGATTTGGATGAAACGAAATCTGCCTCACTTTTAAGCTTGGTTTCTAGAAGATTTAAATATTGCCTAGTGTGATATTGTGATATAATAAGAAATACATATTTTGCCTTGGTTCCTGGCTGTTGGCCAGAATGTTTAAAGCCCTTGTGCTTAGCTAAGTGATAGGAGCAGCAGGAGTGTGTTCCCTTAAATGGTTTTATCTTTTGTTCCTGAAACAGGTCAAGTTCTAGAAAGGGGAAGGGTAATGTTTTGCTGTGCAGAACAAGCCTGTTTTGGAAACCTGTGTAGCACAGAAAATAAACAACTCAGAGAGAAATTCTGGGGTTCATGCTTCAAGTTGGAGATCAGAAAAATCAAAACTGTTAGCCACTAGCTCTTACCTCTCCCTCAGCTCAGGCTCCTGCTCCTCAGATTCCCTTAGACTGCTATGCTGTCCTCAGTGTGGTTAAAGACTCTATGTCTCCCTATCCTCAATATGCCTGGAGAACGAATGCTAGCTCTGAAACCCTGTTCCTGTCTTAAATACCTCTCATGAGTCCCGGGATTAAAGGTGTCTGACCCCAAGTGCTGTGATCATCTTTGTATGAGCTAGTTCTCTTTAGGACTGGATATGTTCTGTGTAGCTCAGTGTGACCTTCAACTAACAGATATCCATCTACCTCTACCTCCCAAGTGGTGAGATTAAAGGTGTGTACCACGACTGCCTGGCTCCTATAGCTTATGGCTGACTTTGTTTCTGAATCCTCAGGCAAGCTTTAAAAAGTCACAAATAATATATCACCATACACTTGAGTTTAAGTGGGCATGGTGTCCTCAAAAAACAGGGGGAGCTTCCTGCCATAGGAACTGGACATCTGATGAGAGGGCTGAAATTTTCAGGTGTAACCCCGACACCACTGCCACAAGACCCTGACTCTCAAGATGAAGAGACACCAATGGCCTCTATCACCAATGGTCACTAACTTACATAATCCATTTTGTATTGATAGAGACACCACTATGTACATAATAATAGAAACAGAAAACTGTCAGGGGGCTTCTGTGACGATTAACATAAGGAGTTCCTGGGCCTAGGTTGAGTGTAGAAGCTCCACACACTGCCCCAGGCTTGCCCCTGTGCATCTCTTCTGATTGGTTGTTCCCCAGTTGAATCATTTATAATAAACCAGTAAAGGGAGCTATTTTATCATGTTTTTGTGAGCAATTCTAGAAACTTATTAAATCTCTGGAGTAGGATCCCCAACTTACAACTGGTCATCAGAAATACAAGGGGCCAGCCTTGCAAGTGGCCTCAGATAAGTTTAAAATAACTATTTGTAATTTTCTTTGGCAAAACATCCCTCTATGCACTGAGATTGGTCTGCACCTAATATTCAATGCTCGTTCATTCAGAAACCACTCGAATCAGTTGATTAATAATTATTCAAGAAGTAATTTACATTGCTAACATCTCTACTCTGTAAAGAAATAGATTTTTTAATATACCTTGCTTTATTCCATCATGTCTTTAATAATGATCACTTCCAGACAACGCATAAGATTCACTCTGTAATATGTCATTTGCTTCAAATGGGCAAAACCATCTGGTCCCCTCAAATAACTGTAAGACTCTGGTGTCAAGAACCAGTCTTTGAATTAATGTCTGTTCACATTTGTATCACACATTTGCTCTCTGGGTTCTCCTTTCTGCCCTTTCCTCTCCCACAAGCGTCCTCCAAGGCACCACCATGTCCCCACACATGCCCAGGCTTTAAGGGACTGGAAGTCCATGAAGCTCAACGCCTTTCATTTGGTACTTCACTTTTTCCCCCCATTTTGTTCCAGAAGGTTTGTCTGAAAGTGTAATGACAACAAAAGCAGCAGATTTGAGAGATTCTCCCAGGAGAAGGAAAAGGACAGCTGTACACAGACATATAGCAGAGAATGCTGCCAGCAACAGCTGGGAAAGTGACAGGCTCAGAAGTGGGTGACCACCCCATAGCGCAGACGTGAACCTAAAGGAGCAAGCATTTCCCTTGATTTGCTCTTGGCTTATCAGGCTCCCTTTTATCCACAGAGAGAAAGGCTTGCATCCTGATTCTTAGAAAAGGTCACCTATTTGCTCATGTTTTACCCTCTTTCTATCTCATTTTTTAAATCTTGGGAAAAAACTAAATACCACACTATTCATCAAAACAACAAACACATATTATCATTAAAAAATAATCATCCTGATAAATAAAAGGTAGTTGTTACTAGTATACTGTATATTAGAGAAAAATAGATATTGTAGCCATTCCATTTTAAATAAGCCAGAGGTTGATTTCTTTTAAACTATAGTATTTCTGTAATAGTGCATAATGCCAAAAAGTCAAAACAGGCACAACTTGGGGAAACAGCATGAGTGCCAGGGGTTCTTCCTAAGGGTCTGTGTCATTAGCACATCACTCACCTTCTCTTCCTCCTCCTCTTCCTCGTCTATGTCTGTGCTCTCCTGAAAGGAAACCCCATAGCTTGTTAATGAGGTAGGCATCAACTGGGATTGCCCAATGCAAATGCAACACACATTTTTAAGTTTTCTTATGGAACTGAAACATTAGCATGATTTTAAAACTCATTGTATTCTCTTGTAAAAATCACACCTTTAGAGTTCAGAGACACTGTGGCAAGGTTACAAACAATACACATAGTCTACTTGGAACATTGGGTATAAATAAAGCTATTGTACAAGTGCCCTTTGACAGCATCCAGCTTATCCTTTCTGCAAACAATTTTCTTCTTGTGTGGCAGATAAACCAAATGCTGTGTTAAGAACCACACCTTTCTCTTTGCTGCCATCACTGAAACATTCTACAATAAAAAAATGCACTAGTCTGAATAGAGTCATCATTAAGAATGCTACAGTTTCTCCCTTGGGGTTGCAGGAAGAGAGAAGGGAAGAAAACTCAAGGCTCTGATATTGACTAACAGGTGCTTGGCTTTAGAGCAGGGGCTGTAGTGCCCCTGTATTGCTACTGGGTTCATTCAGAGTCATTTAGAAGTCCCATGTGTTTAACAGATCTATTTTGTAACATGATTCAGATACGATGGTACATGCCTTACTCACAGCACTCTGGAACAGAGGCAGAGGGATCTCTTTGAGTTTGAGGCTGGGCTCTACATAACCAACGTTCAAGGCTATATAGTGAGACCCAACACCCCCAAGAAAAGAATAGAAGAGAAAAATTACCATCAGTTGCTACAATCAGATGGGTTCAAGAACAGGGAAAGGACACTCAGTTTTAGAGAACCAGGGACCTTTTCAACTTGGAGACTTTCTGCTTAACCATGCGAAGGTCAGACTTCCCATTTAGTACTGTTCCACCAGCTTAAAGCAATTTTCTGCACTGTAACTGCTAAAAGAAGCAACTGTGGAGTGAGCATAGTGAGCTACTCTATTCCTCCATGCAGTCATCAGTGTAACTTCTCTCAGGCTGGTGCTTCCTTACCTCCGTTAATCCTCATGAGCTTCAGCTGTCAGTCTGCATGACACTGACTGCATAGGCGATTAGCTTACTCACCATCGGCATCATTCGTGCCCCATAAAAGCCAATAGATACACAGGAATGAGCAAAGAAAGTATTTTTTGGAGGGATAACCGCACTGCACTTGGGAAAGTTATATGTCATCACTTTGAGCAGTGACTTCTGCAGTTTGTCCCTGTGACTTTGGACCCATCGCTCTGCTGCTCTACACCTTCATCTCACTCAGCAAGATGAAATGGAGGTGGAAGGTCTTGTCACATTTACAGTTGTCTCATCAAGGCTAAATTAAAGAGTGAATTCGAAAATGCTTTTGAAATCAAAAAGTTTTTAACAATGCAAATTTATATTCCTATCCATATGTATTCACAGGAAATATATGCACTTCTGCACATAGGATAAAGAAGCTCTCATACATGTGGTGGCAAAATAAAATCTGGCTAAATATTGTACCAATGTGAGTTAACAGAATTTACTATTACAGATGCTCCCTATTAGAGATGTTTCTCTAGCTTATATTCATATAAAATCTAGTCTATAAATACACATAAACTTTAAATCCGTTTCTTGTTAGTTGGTTCCTCTATCTTTACTGACATGATTTCATGACCACTACTAGATAATAAAAAATACAAGAGATCTTTGAAATTTTTTAAGGTTTTTGCCTCTACAATGTGTTCATTTTTCTAACTTTTCTCCATCCTAAATGAAACCAGAAATGTCCTTTAATAATCATTCTTTCAAAGACGAACTTTTAACATGAGAATATAGAAACCCTATGACAATGTTTGCATTGGAATCATGGAAAAAACTCATGTGTAGAGGACAGTTCTATAAAGAAATTTATCAGACACTGAAATTTTAGTTTTGATTTTAAAAAACCTGTTTCTTAAATTAGATATGTCAAGGTTTGTTCCTAAAGCTTGTTACAAATACAAATTCCTGCTCACTTAGAACAGGAAAAGACCCTCTGGGCTGGCATGAATGATGAGGGTCAGGAGGGCTGGAGAAGGAGCAGGCACCAAGGGATTGCTTTCAGAAGTGACCAAATCACAGCATTTAGGAGTAGAGGGTGGGACTTATTCCCACCTTCTTATTGAGTACCCTGGAATTGGTAATCCCTGGTTAAACCTCAAGAGGACCAATGGCCAAAGTCAGCTTTCCACACCGTGCCATAGCATGCGAGAGAGGCCCAAGGAATCCTCAAAGGTTTTCCTCTAGTGGTTAGAAGGTAATTCCCAGGAACTCTATAAAAAGTAGGTAGATTTGCATATTTCTAGGGAGGAAACAATAGTCAAGATATAGAGGGTTCCTCCCATACTGATAGCACCAGCCGAGATGTGGGACTAAAAGTCATTATAAAAGGAAGATTCCAGAATACATATGATAAAATACCTGTTTTGGATACTGTTCTTGTATCTCTTTCTTCATTCCTCAAACAGTGAACTGTTGCATGATTTAGTCACAGGACTAATACCCTGCAGCTATTCTAGTCCTCAACAGGAAGTTGGAGGAACTCTGGGAATCTTTGCTTACCTGGCTGTCCTGGGTGCTGTTGGCCTTCCCTTTCGTGGGTCTGAGGAAGTTGTACAGAAAGATAAGTAGCAATGCCAGAGGGATCATGTAGAGTTCAAAATTCCAGACAGTGACCAAAAACACCTGCCAGGAAAGCAAATGAGAATCCATGACTCTTAGATGAAAACAGAGGACAGGAATTTTACTTTGCTGATTCATTGATACAGGGAAATTAAATTTAGGGATTGCTCAAAAATGGTGAGATTGCAAATACTTCAGCCACCATGGAAATCAGTGAAGCAGTCTGTTATTTACCTAAAAATAGATCAACTGCATGACCAAGCTATAGACATATATGCAAAGGAATATTTCCTATTATAGAGACACATGCTCAACCATGTTCATGGCTGCTTTACTCACAATAGATGAGCCAAGAAAGTAATCTACATGTCACCTAACCAGTGAATAGATAATTCAAATGTGCTGCCTATACACGGAGAATTTTATTTAGCTGTAAAGATAAATGAAGCTAAAAAATGTGCAAGTGAATAAATGGAACCGGAAAATAGACTAAGTGACATAGCCACTCCCAGAAAAGTTACATGTTCTCACATGAGTCTTACTGTCAAATTTTTAGATTTCTTGTGCTTAACTTGGAGTACCAGGGAACTGAAAAGAGACCACAAGTTCAGGGTGTTGGGGACATCTTAGGGAAGAGCAACTATCAACACCCAAGTGATATTAAGGGTAGAGGAGGCATAATAGACAAGGAGGTTTAAGTGGGGAGAGAGATTGGAGGGGAGGGTAGAGAATCAGGGTGAGGGAAAAGATAACTAACAAGGATAGCTGAAAAATACTACTGTTTGATATGCTATAGAAGATATATAGGTACATAGATGATACATACATAATACATACATAAATACATAGAAACAAATAGAAGTGGAATTTCCTTATATAAAGGATAGTGTTCCTTCCAGAAACCATAGATTACCAAAATAAATAAATCCCTGTGCCCAGTGTAGGATACTTCTCCCAAACTGTTGGCCAGGTATGTTATAGACAATAAAAACAATAGTGTGTAGTTGCTGGTCTTGGTTACAAACCAGAACTTCATGGTAAGACCATATTGCTGTAGACACCAGTTTATGAACAGGACATAGGGAAATAAAGTTGGTATTGGTTGGTATTGAGCAGGAAGTATCATCCCTAATGGCTAGATTTCATAGTACTGGAATGCTCTATGCAGGCTGCTTGGGGAAAATCAGTCATCAACACTTGTACCAAGCTGTTAACCCTATGAGATACAAAAATAACTGGGCTGGCAAGACATTCTTATCATACAATAATGGCACAAATATTGTAGGAACAACCAACTATATTCTGATTTAAAGAACCTCTCCACAGAAAGAAACATTTGTTTAGAAATATAAATCTAGTCAAGAATACATTGATGGATATAGGCTCGGGGGATAAGCCTACTACTATTATTCTGGTAAATGGGCAATTCTTAAACTGTCCATTCTAAATTTATACTTCAGGCAATAATTAATGTAGCTCTCAGACCTCATCGGAGACACGTCTGTGTTCAGGTGACATTGGTAAATGCAGAAACTAACAACTTGTCAAAGTGCAGAGGATAAGGGTGGATGGAGTATTAAGCCACAAATGGGTCATCTATATCACAAAGCCTTTCTCCAAAGCTCCAGGGATCATTGCAGAAGAAGAGGTGAAAAGACTGTAAGAGTCAGAGGTTGGGAAGAAGAAACAGTGCCTTCTGAACACAGCAGGTTTGCTACACTGATGACCCCAAGAGGCCCTAGCTAAAACTAATCATGGCTTCTGGAGGAAGGAGACTCAGTTTTCTTTACAGGTGTGACCTCTGGTCTATGCTAGGTTGACAACACTCCAGTTCATGAACCCACACTTCTGAGTGTCATGAGCAACACAAACGGAACTGGGTTGGGTTGTTTACTTGTTTGTGTGTATGTGTGTGTGTGTGTGTGTGTGTGTGTGTGTGTGTTTGCTTGTTGTGAAGTACACAAAGTAAAGAGGAAGGAGTAGATCTGGGAGGAGTTAAGGTGATGATTAAAATAAATGTATGAAATTCTCAAAGAACTGAAAATGTAATTTTAAAAGGGATTAAATTTAGAAACAGCTCCCAAAAGGTACAAATGTGTGCACATGAACGTCCACAATGAACTCAGTCTTAGAGATTGTGACAGAATGAAAAGAATATAGACAGAATTGGCAGATCATGATCTGCAACAGTGAGATTACTGTTGCATTTTAAGACACCATTTTCTTGTCAGCCCTATTTAATATTGCTGCTTCTGGAGTTTTATGTGTCAGAAATTAGACAGCAGGCTAGAGGAGGTTAAGGTCACAATAAACCAAAACCTAGGCCGAATACTACCATCAGTAAAGATGGATTTGAACTAGGGAAAATGGTTGTCAATGTTTCAAACTACAGGTATTTAACATACAGGTATGCTTCTAAAATCCCTTTAAGAACCCTGAAATGAGAAAGTTGTGAAATATGAGAGCTCCTAGGAAATAATTAGGTATTACTTCTGATGTAATACAAGATATGCATGCCCCCAGAACAACCTCAGCCTTGGACAAACAAGTAAGAGCTTAAGGCCCTAAGCTACAGACACACAGGCAAGTGACAGGGGTGCTGTCACAAAGCATGAGAACACAGTTACTAGAAAATTTAAGCCATACTTTCACACATATTCTACGAGTTGAGTTGCATGATTTGTAAGGATCGGCTTCTGGTGTGTAGAAAAAGTCAAGGTAGACTATTTCATGATAAGTATAAAAACTTTCTGGCCAAACACAATACTTTTTACCTAAAATTTGAAAACTTTGTAACTATTACATATCACTTAATTCTTTCATTTTTGGTTACTCTGTATCCTAAATAATTTTTGCAAAATCTGATTATAATTTAATGAAAAACCTCTAATTTGAATACATCCATCTTTAAAATTAGCAACCTTGCTAAGATTTTTCTTGTTGATACAAATAGCACTTTATTTAATTTTTCTGTGGCTTCTTAAACATATTCATATGAACTATGACTAAGAAATTTTTCTGCTTCTTCTTTCCTTGTGATTATAACTTGGTTTTTCTTGCTTAATTTCAATGCTCCTACATAAACATATTAGGAGAGACATTATTGTCAAATTCCAAATATCAATGAAAATTGTCCTGATTTTTCATTTTCCTACCATTAAGCATGATGTTTGCTTTTAGTTTCCACTGTATAAATCATATCACATTAAGAAAATACACAAATCTATTTAGTTTTAATATGAGAAAATTCAGAGGTATTCATTTTATTACTGTAGATATCCCTCAAATATTTTAAAAGCACTTCTTTGCATCTGCTTCAAATTAAACAATAAGATTTCCATCCATTGTAATAAGGGTTTATTTATTTATTAAATCAGTAATGGATGGTGGCCTACTAATTGTTTTTAATTTACTTGTTTTTCACATTTTCGCATTTTCTGGAGAAGCATTTTATCTTCCTTGTTTTAATATATTAATAGGATATATTTAACCTAAACAGAAGATTGAAATAATCTTCTACATCTTGGGGAAACTCCTTCACTGAGGTCTATTGTTGTACTGAATTCATGAAGACCAAAAAGACAGCTTTACATTGATCCCAATAACATAATGTTGGAATTTTGTATATTTTCAAATTTTGAAATTAGTGTATTGTGACATCACATAAGCATTCTTCAACAATGTATGACACATGCTAACGTTCATAAAACTAAGTATTTAAAGATGACAAATAATACATACAGCCCTTCTACTACAGGAATCTTAGTTCACCCTGAAATGATAAATCTATTTTTTAAATGATAATTGCATGTATATGATCTTTATTCTTTTTCAATTTTTTCATAGGTATAAATAAGCATCAAATTTAATTTTGTCTCTATAGATGCTTTTAGAAAGTAAATTTATATAGCCATCTACACGTTCTTTGGGGTCTACATGTTTACTTCCATCTCGAACCTGCTGATGAAATTTTGTCAGCTGCTTCAGCAGGAAACAGTTGTAAGAAAATCATTCCTCAAAACAGTATTTTGAGACATGTGACTACAAATGTGTGTTTTCACATCTCTGTGGGACATGACTTCATACAGATCAAAAGACGGTTCTTCCATGTTCATTTATCTCATTTCCCCTTCCAGGGTTTTATTTGGAGAGCTGATACATATTTTAAAAAGCACATAAACTCTAATAATGACTTTTCATCTTTAAGAACTGAATGTGATCTGGGTCCTTTGAGTATTTGCTCATCTTCAGCCCAAGAACTACTTGAGTCACAGTGGTGGCACCAGTAATTACACTTCAAAAGTGGCACGGTCAAAGTTAAATGCAAAACAACATTTTAAAATACGTATGCCTCTTCAAAGCAAGGCATAAAGCATTAACTATCATGGAGTTTACAATGCATTTAAATAGAAACATGAAAATTCTAATATAAAGCAGGGTAGGCAGATCAGCTTAGGCAAGAAGCACTGTTGTTATGGATTAAATCAGCATGTAATACTGATCCTAAGCTGATCTCCAAAAGTTAAGGGAAGACAACTTGCACACAAATACAAATTGATCTCTAGCATGTATAACATGTATTCTCCCTGTCTTTCTCCATGTGTCTCTCCCTCCTTTTCTCCATATCTTACTGTGTATCTGTCTCTATTTCTCTGATCCAAACACAGAAGATATATATATATATATGTATATATATATATATATAGAAAAGCCTAGTGCCAGATAAGTTTATCTCAGAATTCAGAATTCAACCAGACCTTCAAAGAAGAACTGATGCCAATACTTCTCAAGTTATTCTGCCAAAAGGAAATGAAAAGACCATTTCCTAATTCTTCTTATGAGGCCACAGCCACCCTGATACCTACACCACATAAAGACTCAACAAAAGAAGAGGATGACAGACCAACTTCCCTTATGAGCATAGATGTAAAATTTATCTATGAAATACTTGCAAATAGAATGCAAAAACACATCAAAAATGATGATCCAGGATCAAGTAGGTTTCATGCCAGAGATGTGTTGGGTTACATTCATTGGTGTACAGATACTTAATCATTCCCACA